TGTGTACTAGTTACTTTAACAGGAAGTAATTCTCTAAAATCTCCTCCCAAAATAATTGTTTTTCCACCGAATAAATAATCATAGTCCATATCACGCTAAAATAAATTCGATCCACGACATTCATTGCATATCTTGACGCCATAGAAGCTTTGTCTTATATAAATACATCTATTTCTTTTAAATATGCAGTTTCACGTGATTCTATCTTTATATTTGATGACAAATCCGAAAATAAAGGTATTGGTAATTTAAATATTTTATATAGTGTGTTGCCTTGAGGTAAGTGTAGCAGCTATCTCAGTAAAAACCATAGTATATACTATTTTACCATTCCTTTTAAAAGATACCAAAGTGTTTCATACAAGAATGTTTTACCTGATCCGCCAGGACCAGGTAAAACATCATTATATTGTTATATTGTTATAAAGCAACATTTATTTTAATTATTGAATTCATCGTAACTCATTTTAAACATTATTTAAAATATTGTCAACTAATTCTTTTTGTTTTCGATTCAATTTTGCATATCTTTCACGACCTAGTTATATAGTTTTTTGTATTTTGGTATTCTCTATCTATTGATAGTTCACTAAAATTTTGCATTAAATTTTGTATTTGTGGAAAATCATCGAGACTCTTTCCTTCATTTTCAAATAAGTAATATATATCCGTAACAGCTTTGTAATAGCTTTCATTTCTGCTGTATTCATGAATAAAATCTTCGGATAGTTGATCTTTAAAATCACTTAAATGGCGGCGCTCACTCAACACTCTGGAACTCTGGCACGCAAAATCTAAAATGACAGCGGCCATTCGAACACGGTCGTCCACCAATATGGCGGCACTCTAAGGCTTTGCTCCTTTTTATGTTAAGATTCTAATCTAAATGTGCAAAAACACCGTCTTTGCCCATTTTTAAGGTTATGTGACCCTTCAGATTTTAGTATACCTAAAGAACTACACAAGGCAGCTTCAAGTACAGTCTTAAACTTTTAAATGGTGTTAAGTTTGTTCAAGTATCTTTTTTTTTTTGCTGAGATATCGCTCTTTGACGTTTTTATTTTTTTGCAATGTGGCTTCATTATATCTATACCGTTTTGATTAAAAATTTATTCAATTGATTACTAAATAAATAGAATATGATGGGTTTGAAAATTGGCGATGTAATGATTGATTTGATTAAGTTTATAGAAGGCAAGCTTAGTTTAATTTGGAGGCCTGTTGTTCGGTTATAGACATGCTTTATTAAATTTTAGGTAGATAGGGTTTGGTTGGTTTTAAGACTTATGATTTAGTTGAAGGTTCACTTGATTGAATTTAATGTGAATAGAGTTAATTGGGTATTAAAACCTACATTTATTTCAAAGTATAGTTGACTGATCACGGCATAGGTAGAAATGAGATAAATGAAAACTTCAAAATACGATATCTCAGCGGATAAAAGATATATATAAAAATATCTGCTCACGTAATATTACAGTGTCGGTCAGCCACTTTTACCCCCCCACGGGCAAAATCAGTCTAACTTCAAAGTTTTATATCTCTGGTAGAAATTAACGTACAGAGACGCGCGTGGGTGCGTTTGAAAGGTCTTTCGGAGAGCTTTCGAATGATATGACTCACGGTTGCCATCGATTGTTTTTTTAAATTTTGCAACAATTATGCAAAATTGAAAATTCTGAAATTTTTATATTATTTTTGACAATTAGCCAATTTTGGAAAAAAAATCGTACGAAAATTTGAAGTACACCATTTTTTAGCTATTACCAAGCCCTATCTGAATCACTCATCAAAAATTTATTTTCGTCAAATATGACGCGCGTACGGGCATTTTTTCCTGGAAGTGACAGTTTTTTTCAACATTTTTTATCTCCGTCAAATTGTAACAATCGAAAAAAATTTATAGGAGAAAAAATGTTTGTTTTTTCACGTAGAATACTGCAATAATTTTTTTTTCGGTTTTTCGAAAAATTTTTTTTTTCGGTTTTTTTCAATTTTTTTTTCTCACAGTCGGTACGCTAAAAAGATGAGAAACCACAAAAAAAATTTATTTCCACCCATTCAATAATACTACATAACAAGTATCGTAAATTACATAAAAAAAAATCTTTTCTTTTTTTCGACCTTGAAAAATAATTTAAACCGAAAAAAAAAATTTTTCGAAAAACCGAAAAAAAAAATTTTTCGAAAAACCGAAAAAAAAATTATTGCAGTATTCTACGTGAAAAAACAAACATTTTTTCTCCTATAAATTTTTTTCGATTGTTACAATTTGACGGAGATAAAAAATGTTGAAAAAAACTGTCACTTCCAGGAAAAAATGCCCGTACGCGCGTCATATTTGACGAAAATAAATTTTTGATGAGTGATTCAGATAGGGCTTGGTAATAGCTAAAAAATGGTGTACTTCAAATTTTCGTACGATTTTTTTTCCAAAATTGGCTAATTGTCAAAAATAATAAAAAAATTTCAGAATTTTCAATTTTGCATAATTGTTGCAAAATTTAAAAAAACAATCGATGGCAACCGTGAGTCATATCATTCGAAAGCTCTCCGAAAGACCTTTCAAACGCACCCACGCGCGTCTCTGTACGTTAATTTCTACCAGAGATATAAAACTTTGAAGTTAGACTGATTTTGCCCGTGGGGGGGTAAAAGTGGCTGACCGGCACTGTAATTGGATTTTTATTTATGAATTCATGTTGATAGAGGTTAGCATGTTAAAGCATAAAACTATGTTATGTATGTTGTATATTTTATAATAGTTTTAATTTGATTTAAGCATGGAATTCAATATTAATACAAACGGGAGATTAGCGCGTGAACCGCGCTTAATGACACTAGTGATGAAAAAAGTACTGTTCCCGATCATTCCCCTGAAAATTATGTCCCCGAACCTATTATTTAAACAAACCCCCGAAAAATTTTATTTATATATAATATATTCTTATATAATTCGCGATTAGGTGGATGCGCGTGAACAGACATTGCGGGATATCGACCATCAGGGCCCTTCAAAACTACAACTTCATTTTGTGCACTCACGGTTGTGATGGCTCGGGCTTTGCATTCCTTGCGCCGAACTTTTTTGCAGTCCTTATACGTACGATTTCCTTTCGATCGCGACTTTACATACGAGGTCTGTCCGAAAAGTATCGGGCCTACGTTTATATCTTCGCGCCATAGTGTTTGAGCGACCTCTACCGGACAGAAACGTCAACAGTAAAGCCTCACGAATCTATTGATTACTTACTGACACCTGCCGGACGTATAGTTCATGCGCAGCGTGTCTTTGTTCACAGTGTCTTTTTCGCGTTCGTCGGATTTTGATATTGTCAAAAATGACTGAAAAACAAGATCAACGAATTTGCATCAAATTTTGCTTTCAACTTGGAAAAACGAGTTCGGAAACTATTGAAATGATGCAAAAGGCCCTCGGAAGCGAGTGTATGAGCAAAACACGAATAAAAGAGTGGTATAAACGGTTCAAGGATGGTCGCACTTCTGTAGATAGTGATTCTCGTTCCGGCCGACCTTGGACGACAAAAACCGCAGATAATATTGAGCGGGTGCGACTTGCAATCGAACAAGATCGTCATATGACTGTGCGAGAACTAGAAAAAGACCTTGGGATACCAAAAACTATCATTTCAGAAATTTTAACCGAAAATTTAGGAATGAAACGCGTGTGTGCGAAATTCATCCCAAAATTGTTCACAGCAGAGCAGAAGAACATTCGCTTAGAAATCGCTCTGGACAATCTGGACATGGTCAATAATGATGATAATGTGCTTAGAAAAATTATTACAGGTGATGAATCATGGGTTTATGGTTATGATCCTGAAACAAAACAACAATCTTCACAGTGGAAGCATTCTGAATCGTCAAGTCCAAAAAAAGCACGTCAAAGTCGCAGCAATGTTAAGTCAATGTTGATTGTTTTTTTCGATTGTGTTGGTGTTGTACATCACGAATATGCACCAACAGGTCAGACAATCAATAAAGAATACTACGTTCAAATTTTGAAACGTTTGCGTGATGCAGTAAGAAGAAAACGGTCGCACTTTTGGGAAAGTGGTGACTGGCTTCTCCATCACGATAATGCGCCAGCGCATTCTTCTAATCTTGTGCAGCAGTTTTTGAGCAACAATATTGCATTGTTTTAACAATCTCCATACAGCCCCGACATAGCCCCTTGTGACTTTTGGCGGTTTCCAAAACTAAAAAAACCACTCAAAGGACACCGATTCGATGACAAAACAACGGTTGAAAACAATGCGACGAGTGTACTTAAAGCTATCCCTAAAAGTGAGTTCAAGGACTGTTTTGAAAAGTGGAAACATCAATGGAACCGTGTTATTCAATCAAGTGGGGATTACTTTGAAGGATGCCACCCACCAGATGATAAAGAATAACGCTAGCACGAAAATGTAAAGGTAGGCCCGATACTTTCTGGACAGACCTCGTACATGTAACCGTCTAAAATTAATCGAACTCCGTTTACAATTTTCGGTTTCCTATTCATTTTCTTTTTATTTTCCATTGAAAATTTCGATTGAATACAAATTTATTGTGCCTTCCACTGAAAATTTTGATTAACAAAAAATGTATTGTGCTCTCTGCCCCGACCAAGGTTAAAAGACTGTTTATAACAATTGAACGTCGGATTCCAATTTCGGGGGATTTAAATTTTTTCAGGGAAGTCGTCATTCGGAGTACTGCTTTCGGGTAATTTGTCATTCGGGGGAATGATCATTCAGGATTTTTTTCCGGGTAATGAACATTCGGGTTAACGCTTTCGGGAGAATGTTAGGTAATCACAAACATCTAGAAATCTAAAACATCGAATTTTACATTTATATACTTTTTTTCCCACTTGTCAGTTTTCCAAACTATATAGACTTTTCGATTCCTTTTATTATCGATTTCAGCTATATTTCTGATTTGTCAATAATGTTATTGTGTTATGTACTGTTATTAAATTTATGGTTATTTTTCAGGTCGTGTTCGATTATTACTTTCTAAAAATCATTCATGCTATAGACCTCGACGTGACGGAGAAAGAAAACGTAAATCTGTTCGAGGATGTATCGTAGATGCTAATTTATCAGTTTTAGCTCTTGTTATAGTCAAGAAAGGAGAACAGGTAATATGATGAAAATTGATAATCGTTATATTACAATATTTATTACACAAGTCGCAATAATCAATAAAGTGCATGACTTATAATAGAAAACGTAATTATATTCATGTAGTTATTTAACATCGTTATTCAAGCCGTTGTTTTGCTTGAAACAACTTAAATAGTGAAAACTATGGGAGTCCTCATTTATTTATTATGCAAATTTGCAATTCCTTTTTTATCGATAGCCGATAACGATATTGGTCCTTGCATTGCCGACATGCGAGCTCTATGGCTCTATGCTACTTTATCAACGTGTGTATCAACAAATATTCCGCTTTATTGGCTATTGACCTGCTCTACCGACAATGTTGCCCCAGACCCCTTCGCCTTGGTCTGCTCGATAAATCAGTGTTAGAGTTGGGATGGTTCCCTTTTTTATGACTTATCAATGTCAGAGTAAAATTAAACAAATTTATTTAAGGTTGTCAAATTTGTTACCTTCGTAATACTGTGTTTAACACTTCAGTCTCATGTTGAAAAAATGACGAGTCGCTGACATCCAGTGTTGTGATTGATTGATGCTAAAAAAGAGTGGGGAATTTTGAATTTTCGTATATTTAAAAATATTTTTATATATATCTAGGAGTATGAGATTTATATTTCAGTAATAAATTAAATTTAGCAGAAAATTCAATTCATTTCGGCCAAAAACGCCACTTTCGTTACATCGGCTTTTGAGCGCTCATAACTAATGTTACAGGCGTTAACAAAATTATGACAGTCACATTTTGAAAGCTTAAGAAATGCTCTTCCGATTATGTTCATAAAATTTTTATAAAAAAATGTTTATTCGGGTAAACTGCAGTTGAAATAGCAGTATAAAAATCTCTGTTATGAGTAAATTTATTATGTATGGTTCGAACAATGTAGCAAATAATAGAAAAACAAAAAGAGCGCACGAAACACGCTAGATAGCTTTAGTTCATAGAAAAAGTGAATGACTATAATTTGAAATATGAACGCTTCATGTAATACGAAGTCTGTTCAAAAAGTATCGCAAATTTTGTATGTTTTCAAAAATTATTTATTTATTCATGAATATCTATTTTATCTCCTTCAAAGTAATACCCCTCGGATATAATGCACTTATGCCAACGTTTTTTCCAATCCTCGAAGCACTTAAAAAAAATCATTTTTTGTGATCTTGTTCAACTCCTCCTTCGATGCTATCTTTATCTCCTCAATTTAGCCTTTTAGAAACTATCAACTAAGTTACATATATAAAAATATTTTTTTGTAGCCCTGGGGGAAGGGCAACCAGATACTCGAATACAATACGAAAAGTAATTTATTTATTTGAAAATGAGTTTTGATAGTAATAAATATGATTATTATATAATGGAGTTTAATAAATAAATAATTTTCAAAATAATTAAGTTAATAATAAATATTTTATTAGTAATTATCAGTGCGGTTGGAATCATGGCGTTGAGAGGAGTTGAGCTACCCAACATCGAGCTGAGTAAATACTATAAATATCATCCGAAAATGAAAGTGGATACAGTAGTTTATGAAGTATGTGGCAATTTATGTAAAGTAGTGAGCGCGAAGAGTGAAAGACACGTATAGTTTTCTATCTATTATGCGCTCTTGACAAAAGTACATTGCGAGAGTGGGAGAAAGACAGTTCTCCTCTCTCACGCTCTTGCGAGAATTGCTGAATAGGATTAGGAACGATTCGCGAAGCTGAATGAGCAATTAGCCCATTGGCCGGTGACATTAGTTATCACACCAGTGAGCGGGCTATTGCTGGCCTTTTTTTCGATTGTGAAGAGGACTGGACACACTTCGCAACCGTGAGCGAAACCGTAACGAGCTACGTGAAATGTTTAACTCTCTTGTAAGATTAACAGTGTATTAGTAAAAAAAAAATTGATATCATAAAAAATCAGTGAAGATACAACTCGAAACAAAATATTCCGCCAATCCCTCTCGACTTGTGAAGTGTGACTGGCTATGAGCGGTGCTTTAGGCACATTCCACTATTCTTGTCGACGCCGGACTGTAGTTCGATAAATCGCAGGGAAATCTATAAGTCAAAGGTGGCGAAGGGTAATCCGCCACAACAGGTTTTTCCTTTCGATAATTCTGCCTATCTTCACTCGCTTTAGATCGATTTTCCTAGTAAATTGCAGTAGTACTCGAGATTAGAAAGGGAAATGTTTTGTAAATTCCGGAAGTAACAGTATCAAAATATAATAGTGTTATTACTTATTAAATTATTAACAACTCTTTTATCATATACCAAGATCATCTAAATTTTGCATTAACTTCAAAACTGTCATATGGTAAAGAAAGTGAGGATGCAAGACTTCATCACACAATTAAAACTAGTAAGTTCCAAACAAATGAAACACAAAATACATGAGGAACAAAAAGAAAATGGTCAAGATTTGAAAATAACTATAGAAGTCTGTGAGAAATCACATACTGAAAAAATTGAAAAATTAATTACAACATTATTAAAAAATTTGCCGAAGATACAACAATACGAAAGCCAGAAAACGAAAGCGTGCAAAGAGTGCCACGATTGATAATTAAAAAAATAAATAGCAATGATGATAAAAAATCTAGAAAATGGAGTTATACGAGGGGTGTTCAAAAAGTAAAGTGACTTCAATTTTCGCGGGCTACGTACATTCAAGTTTTGAATTTTTGTTGTTGTGTTTGTACACTTGCCACGTGTTGTTTTTCTGGCAGAGACGTCAGAGGTTAGAAGTGTTTGGTGTGCTCGGCAATTTTCTTCTATCGAAAAGAATGATGCAAAGAGTTTGCATTAAGTTCTGTGTGAAAAATGGAATCCAGTGCTCTAAAGCTCTTGAAATGTTAACAATTGTATACGGTGAGTTTACTCTGACTAAGAAAAATGTGTATAAATGGGATAACCTGTTCCAAGAAGGCCGAGAGAATGTCGAAGATGAACCTCGCCCTGGATGTCCCAGCACATTAACAACAGATGAAAATGAAGCAGTGAAAGAAATTGTGTGAAAAAATCGTCGAATCGTCATCAGAGAAATTACAGAAAATGTTGGCATATCGGTTGGCTCATGCCATAATAGTCTTTCCGATGTTTTGGGCATGAGAGGGGTGTCACCGAAATTCGTTCCAAAATTGCTCAATTTTGATCAAAAGAACTCTCGCATGATCATCGCTTAAAAGATGTTGAACGAAGTCAACGAAGATCCTGATTTTCTCAAAAGGGTTATAACTGGTGATGAATCGTGGGTATTATATATGGTTATGATGTCGAAACTAAAGTCCAATCGTCCCCAGAAGAGCCAATAACAAATAAAAATCGTATTTCTACTATAATTCTGGGAATAATCATCTAAAATAGTTCTCTTGCAATCACTGCCATGACAACGAGTTCCTATTATAATTCTATTATTTTTATTGTAATCAGTGCATACACGTATGACACTTTTTATAGAAACTTACAAGCACTCTGTTATAGTAGAAATAACGTCTCAGTGGCCTGACTCTTCAAAAAAATGTCTCGTATTTATTATTATTTGTTTAACTTTTTCAGAAAAAACTTTATTTTTTAATGTATCTGCATTTTTAACAAAAACACCGGGCTGTATTCGGCACTTTAAATTATTTTCTTGATTATTGATTATCACAAATCTACATGATTTTCTTCTTGGCCAACTGAGTTACTTTTGAAGAAATTTTTTGCGCATAATTCGAATCTAAAGTCAGAATTTTTCCATCACATCAGGTTTTTTTAGATATCCTAACTTACAAAGGCGAAAAAGGCTGTTTTTTGTTATATTTGAAACCCCCAAACAGCACGAATTTTTTTTTCTCCTGAAATCGGGGAAAACTATTTGAAAGGTTTATTTTTACTCTTCAAAATACTTTTTTAAGATTTAAGATGTCTTTTTTTTCATGGCGATATTGTTAATTGAAGTCAAGTACTTTCGTGTATACAATATACGAGGTGTGTTCAAAAAGTAAGGTGACTTTTCAAATTTCACGGGCAACGTACTTTCGATTATCGATTTGTTTGTTTTGTTATGTTGGACACTCTTCCCGAACATCTGTACCAAGTTTCAAGTGTATAGCATTTTTTGTTTGGTTGTGAGAGGCGTAAAGGTTATAAGTGTTTTGCGTGCTCGGCGATTTCTTGCTATCGAAAAATATGGATCAAAGGATTTGCATCAAATTTTGTGTAAAAAATAAAATAAAGTGCTCCGAAACACTTGAAATGTTGACGGTGGCATACGGTTAAACTGTTCTGAGTAAAAAAAATGTTTACAAGTGGTACAAACTCTTCCGAGATGGCCGGGAAGATGCCAATGACGAGCCTCGCACTGGACCCAGCCCAAGCACGTTAACAACTGATGAAAACGTTCAAGCAGCGAAGAAAATTGTTCTGGAAAATCGTCGAATCAATATCAGAGAAGTTGCTGAGGATGTTGGTATATCGCTTGGCTCGTGCCATGAAATTTTTTCTAACGTTTTGGGCATAAGACGTGTGTCAGCGAAGTTTGTTCCGAAATTGCTAAATTTTGACCAAAAGAACCGTCGCATGATCATCGCTCAAGAACTGTTGAATGACGTCAATGACGACCCAGATTTACTCAAAAGGGTCATAACTGGTGACGAATCATGGATATATGTTATGATATCGAAACCAAAGTCCAATCGTCCCAATGGAAGAGCCCAGATGAGCCAAGACCGAAAAAAGCACGCCAAGTTCGATCAAATGTCAAAGTTTTGCTCACTGTTTTCTTCGATTACCATGGCGTGGTGCATCAGGAGTTCTTACCATATGGACGTACGGTCAATAAACAGTATTATCTTGAAGTTGTGCGCCGTTTGCGAGAAGCAATACGAAGAAAACGCCCAGAATTGTGGAAAAACAATTCATGGCTTTTGCATCACGATAATGCCCCTGCACGCTCATCTTTGCTTGTGAGAGATTTTTTGGCCAAAAACAACACCACAATCATGCC